TAAATTAAATTATACAGTATGTGGCCTTTTGTGTCTGGCTTCTTTCATCTACTGTAAAGTTTTTAAGGTTCATTCTTACAGAACCATAATCACTACTTCATTCCTTTTTATGATCGAATAATATTCATTGCAGGGATATATTACATTTTCTTTATCTATTCATTAACATAACTATTTGAGTGCCAAAAGTTTTTGGCTTGTTTCTATTTTGGGCCACCACAAGCATTCAAATGCATGCAGGTTTGGGGAGGTCTATATTTTTAATTATCTTGGATTTGCACATAAGGATGGGGTTACTGGGTCATCGGTGAGAAACTATCAGAATGTTTTTCAAGGGGCTTCACCATCTTACACTCCCATGAGCTGTTATGTGTGTGTTTCAATATTTCTGCATCCTTGTCAACACTTGTAGCCATTCTAGTTGGTGTGAAATGGTATCTCACAGTAGTTTTCATGTGCATTGTTTCTAAGCATCTTTTCATATGCTAGCTCGTCATTTATATATCTTTTTAGGAGAAATATCTATTCAATTCCTTTGTCCATTTTTAAATTGGTTGTCTTTTTGAGTTGTAATTTTTTAAAAAATATTTATCCTAGATACTAGTTCTTTAGCAGATATATGATTTGTAAATGTTTTCTTCTATTCTGTGTGTTATCCTTGTACTTTCTTGATAGTATCTTTTGAAGCACAAAAGTTGTTGATTTTGATGAAGTTCAATTAATCTAATTTTTCTTTGGTTTCTTTCATTTTTGATGTCCTATCCAGGAAAACATTGCCTAACCAAGATCAGAAAGATGTATGTCTGCTTTTTTTCCTAAGGATAGGCTTAGCTCTAACATGTAGGTCTTTGATCTGTTTTGAATTAATTGTTTTACAATTGACTCTTGAACAATTAGGGTGTAAGGAACCCAAACTGACTCACAGTGGAAAAATCCATACATAAGACTTGACTCTCCTAAAACTTAACTATGAATAGCCTGCTCTTGACCAGAACCCTTACCCTCAATAACAAATAAGTCAATCAACACATATTTTGTGTTATATGTATCATATACTGTGGAAAAATGCAGGAGGAGGACTTTGAGAGATATTTTGCTCCAATAAGCAATGTCTTAGACAGATGAACTGGTCCCTCAGAGATGATCGGTATACCACGGTTTCTTCCTTTCTTTTCTTGTTTTTGTTTATTTTGCAATACTGGGGACCCAGGGCCTTTGTACTGAGACGCAACCTCAGCCTTTTTTTATTTTGAGATAGGGTCTTGCTAAGACACTAAATTGCCCAGGCTGCGCTGAAACTTGCCATCCTCCTGCCTCGGCTTTCACTACAAGCATGCATTGCAATGCTGGGCACCCTACAAAATGTTAAGCAGATATTTACAACACTTGTTCTTACCACAACAGCAGCAGGAAGTGGTTACAAAGTTATCATAGTAGTTTAATATACAGTATGTACTATAGTTAATTTACACAGTTTTGACTTTATACTGCATTCTTACCTATTTCTCTCATCTGAAAATGGCACCAACTGCAGTGGTTTGCAAGTGTGTACATGAGTCTTGGAAGATTTTAACTTTTTCTTATAAATTGTGTGTATAGTATGATAGTAAATATTAAAATAGATAATCCACATATATTTATGGATTCATTATATAGCTTTTATTTCTAGGCTGTAGGATTTTCTTCAAGATTTTCTAAATTGTCACAATTTTTTAAAAAATCCACATGTAAGTGGACCCATGCAGTTCAAGCCCAAGTAGTTCAAGAGTCCACTCTATATGGTATAAGGTAGAGGTCCAACTTCAATCTTTTGCTTGTAACTATCCATTCATCCTGATTCTGTTTGTTGATAAGATTATTCTTTTCTCCTCTAAATTTCTTGGCATGAGTGTCAAAATCAATTACCAAATGTATGCATTTATTTCTGGACCCTCAATTCTGTTCTATAGGCGAACTTTTACTCATACCATATGGCCTTGATTACTGTAGTTAATACGTTTAGAAATCAAGATGTGTGAGTCTTTCCACTTTGTTCCTTTCCAAGATTGTTTGAGCTTTTCTTGGTTCTTTGCATTCCCATACAAATTTTAGGATTAGTTTACTAATTTCTGATAAAAAGGCAGTGAGATTTAGACAGGATTTGTTTTGAATCTGTAGATCAATTTGTGAATTATTGCCTTCTAACAAAATAAGTGTTACAAGCCTTGAACTCAGAATGTCTTTCATTTTGTTGTTTCTTTCAACAATGTTCTATAGTTTTCACCATGTAAGTCTTAGACTTCTTTCGTTAAATTATTTCTACTTTGTTTCTTTTGAATTTATTATAAGTGGAATTTCTTTCTTGATTTAGAAACACACCTGATTTTTATATCTTGAATTTTTATTCTGTCATTTTGATGGCAAACGTTAACTTTAATAGAATTTTTGTGGATTCTTTAGTGTCTTATATATAAGACCAAGGCATCTGTGTATTTACTGCTTCCTTTTTAATCTGGGTGCCTTCTATTTCTTCTCTTTTCAAAAACATACTTCTCTTACCCACTTCCTATAAAATGTGAAATAGAAGTGGTAAGAGTGGGCTGGGTGTGGTAGTGCATGCCTATAATCCCAGCACTTGGGAGGCTGAGGCAAGAGGATTGCCACAAGTTCAAGGTCAGCCTTGGCTACCTAGTGAGTTCAAGGCCAGCCTGAACTACATAGTAAGACCCTGTCTCAAAAGTTTTAAAAAAAACAAAAAGAAGAAGTGTTAAATGTGGGCATCCCTTGTCGTGTTCCTGATCTTAGAGGGAAAGTTTTCAGTCTTTCACCACAAAGTATGAAGTGAGCTGTGGGGGTTTGTAGATACCCTTCCTCAAGTAGAGTAAGTTATTTCGTAATCCAGGTTGATTATTTGATGTTTATTTGTTGGTTGGTTGGTTTCTTTTTAATCATGAAAAGGTGCTGGATTTTGTCAAAAGCCTTTTCTGCATCCATTGAGATGACAGTGTGATCTTTGTCCTTTAGTCTATTAATATGCTATCTTAATATTAGTTTTCATATGTTGAAACCACCCTACATGCTGGGATAAATTTCACTTAGTTGTGGTAGGATTTATATGATGCTGGGTTCAATTTTCTACTTAAGGATTTTATGTCTATACTCATAAGGTATATTGGTCTGTAGTTTTCTTGTGACATCCTTGTCTGGTTTTGGAAAATGTATGTTTGTTTATCTGTTTGTTCTTCTACTTAAGCTATTGTTGCAGTCTTCCTTCTAGGTCTGTATTCATAGCAATACATGAAGATTACCCTTATCTTTTATGGTGATACCACATTTTTGCTACAATCTTTCATTTATTGAAAATTGTATTATTCCACTTTGTCATCTACTATACTCAACAGATTTGGTTTTAAATGGTTCTTTACTCTTTCTCAATATCATTGAGAAACAGCAAAGAAACCACAATGATAACAATAAATGATAAGCTGTGCTAAACATTGTTCTATCCACTTAATCTTCATAATCCTACAAACACTCCTGTTATGCTCATTTCACAAAAGATAACATAGAGGCAAACATGGGTAATGTAACTCCCCCAGAGGTAAAGAAATTAATTCCTCAGCTAGTAAGAGACTGAGCCAGGATTCAAAACTCAGGCACTGGATTCCCAGGTTCATACTCTTAATTATTATGTTCTAGTAGTTAGTTTTCAAAAGTATATTTACAATACTTAAGAAAATTTCAGAAGAGGTGACCCAAAGATTTTTTGAAAAATGTCAACTTACTTGGAGAAAGCATGTGTTTTTTGCAAAGTACTCTAAAAGCCTAAAATATATTTTTATGAGAAAGTCTGATGCTTTTGTTTAAAATATTGGCCCCATTGTCTCATGTAGCAATGAATATCTTTGCTATTAAATGGTTTTGTCCAAATAAAAATAATATCAGCAGCCCATTCTAAAGAACACTTCATCAGTCAATTTTGAAATGCCACACAGTTGGGAAATACTGTAAAGGTGGTGCATTCCTGCTTTCTGTTCCTACAAGCCTATAGAAAAACAAAGGTTTCATTGCTTCTGCTGTATGTCAAAGGCACAAGGTGAACATGAAATTATGTCTTAGTCAATATAAGCATATTAACAAGATTCTATTAATTGTCAATTAGTCACAACTTCTTTTCTGCATCTAGGATGTATATAATGCCACCTGAAATAGAAGGTAGCAAAATGCAGATGATCAGAGCCTGGGTTTGTACTCATACAGCCTGGATTTGAATTGAGGCCACCATATTATTTATCATTAGGACATCTTTGGCAGGTGTCTTAATTAAACCTCAATTTTCCCACCTGCAATATGAGGATAATAATAACATGGCTACATGAAGAAGAAATGAGGTAATCCATATACAGCTCTTATTATAGTGCCTACCACAATATAAATGCTCATTACATATTACTCTGAAATGAAAATGGACCAGGATAACCTGTCTTCTGGGGTAGTTTACAATATCATAAAGAATGGAAATATGGAGCAGAATGGTCTATATATTTAAGTGTTAATGGGGCTTTGAGAGCCAAAAGTCACAAAATCACTGCAGAAAAGATGAGGGATTGTAAGTTGAGGATAATCAACTTATGATTGATTGTTGAGGTAGTCCAGCGATAGAGTGCTTGCCTAGCATGCATGAAGCCCTGAGTTCAGTCCCCAACACGGAAAAAAAATTTAATGAAAAATGAAAATTAAAAATCCACTTGGCCACAGTACCCAAGACAAAGACAATCAAGAAAAATAGGGGAGACATACAATGAAGAGCATGTGCAAAGCTGAGAGCTGGACAAGACCTCTGGGTAGTCAACTTGGTCAGGATGTAGGGCTTATGGGAAGAAGCAGTGGGAGAAAGGCTGGGACAGAATCTGGGGGGACTTTATTTTCCAAGTTAGAACTCTGCACATTATGCGGTGAGCAGGAAGTGTATCAGATGGTAATTCTACGTGAAAGTTCATGGTTTGTTTTTGCTTTTTTAGATTTAGGATTCAAAATCAATTCAACTTAAAAAGCATTTTAAGGTCTTGGGGAATCACTGATCTTTTTGATCCACTGAAAGCTAACTTGAAAGGAATTTCAGGTAACAGCTCTCCTTCTAAGATGTTTGACATTATGTTTGGGGTAGTTTTGTTATACTGATTTAAGGGTTTTATTTCTGTAGATCCTGCAGTTGTAAAGAGACAAAACTTATATAAAAGAATAAAGAAAGTGCTTTGCTTTAAATAAGAATGCATTGCTTCTGATAGTCAAATTTGGGTTAGACTTGGTGAAGGGATGTTCTTCAGACCTTTAAGCATAGTTTTCAGAGGGAAGTCAGTGGCCATATGACATAATAGGCTCACCCCTCCTTGCTCTGCAAGTTATGACTAGGATTCTCCCAGTAACACTGGTGCAGCAATAGTACTTTTCATCCTGCCCTGCCTCTGTCAAGCTAGATAGTCACCCTTTATTTCTACCTTCTCTCACTTCTTCACCTCCTGTACCTCCTCTGTTCTCTTCCAACGAACAGCTTGAACTTTCCCTTATCTATCCCATTTCCTTTCCTCAGATTACTCATGCTTTTGTAACACTGCCTAAAATGTTTCCCTTCCCACTTTAGCACTGAATTTCTGTCTGTATTTAATGTGCTGCTAACAATAAGGGTTGTTTCCCTGTGCTCTGAAATTATATCAAATATAAAAGGGAGTAAAATCCCAGAACCTATGTTCCAGAATCCTCTCAGGAGACCATGAGGCTAAACTATTGCCAACTCGAAGCTCAGGTTTGTTTCCACTCTAGATAGTAAATTATCTGTGTGGAGATGACACTCTAGCAGGCATTTTCACTGGCCTTGACATCTCTCTTACCTGAAAACTTGAACATCAATATTTTAAATGTTAGATCATCATAACACAGAGAAGTTTTCTAAAGCTTTGCTCAGAATCTTTCTTTATAAGTAATCACAGAAAATAATGTGAATTTGATTTAATAAGACAAGCTTGGACGTGAGCTGCAAATGTGTCCAGACTCACTGGCAATTATTTAGCTACTAACACAGGAAAGGGGGTCTATTATACAGTATCAGAAGCCTAACATCTCAGGGCTGAGGTAGTCCAGTGGTAGAGTGCTTGCCTAGCATGCATTAGGTCCTGAGTTCAGTACCCAACACTGAAAAAAAATTAATGAAAAATGAAAATAAAAAATCCACTTGGCCTCTGTACCCAAGACAATGTTTAGCATATAGCTGGATATCCAATAAATATCACTGACTTCACTGAATGACTTGACCAGAATTTTCCTTGGTTACACAGGCATAATCTGATCCTGCAGGGAAAGGAATAATATTACAGTGAAAAGATCAGAGGGTGTGCAAAATCTAATCACACTGGCCCAGAGGTTAGTTATGGCAACTCTTTTGATGATTATCAATATTTGATCATCTAAATTCAAAACTTTAGGGCCCTGAGTTCAATCCCAAACACCAGCAAGAAAAAAAAAATCAATGTTTGGGGTCATCCTTGACCTTTCCTTCTATACCACTATATTCAGTTAATCTCCATGGCTAATTGTTCCTTTATAACTCTTAATTCTTTCTCCCTTTGTGTTCTAGAAGGGACATAAATTATGTTTTCTCAAACAGGAGTGCAAACACTATCAATGCCATCAATTCTGTTTCCTAAAATGGGACTGAGCTTAACCCCCTCTGTTGGTAAAGACATAAGCCTCTCTGACAAAATTTAATAAGCCATTTAGTTTTTAAAGTACTTTTTTGCACACCTTGCCTCTTTTTTCTAATGCAGTTCAAGTCTATTTGTATTTGTTCAAACCAACAGAAACATAGGTACAGGGATCTGGCTTATTTAATAATTTAATTATCCAGTAACTTCCATGTGCCAAATGTGAAGCTTGTATTCATGTTTCCTACTGACAAGACATATTCGCCTTCTAATTTTTCCCCTTTTTGTTCCTTCTAGAACAGGAGTCAGCAAATGATTGTCACTACCTGTCTTTGTAAAGTATTATTGAAACAACCAATCTTATTCATTTACAAATCATTGTGGCTACTTAGCTGCTACAACAGTGGAGTTACTGGGAGACACCATAGGGCTGGCAATAGCTAGAATTTTAGTATCTGGCCCTTTATGGAAAAATTTTCTGATGAAAGTATTGTTTTCCAGTGCCCTGCTTTTATCAAGATAGTAGTCAAGTCTATGCCAATGTGGGCTTCTAGCTTGATTTCTAAGACAAGGCTATTGATTCTCCCCAAGAAAGATTCCTTGTTCCTAAAACAACGGTAGCCATCACCCACCTCCTAAACTGTAGAAATGAGATTTTAACATATAGCACAGCATTGAGTGTAGAGCTGAATGGAGAAGAGGCAATCAGAAAATGTTGGCCTTGTACCCCTCAGTTACCAAGGGGTTACCAGGCAGTTTTGTGCTATTGACTGAAGCCCAATAATCACAAGAACATTTGACATTTTATTTACATTTGGTTCCAAAGCTCAGAATCTTTTTACTTAAGCTCTTCTTCCCTGTCATTTGTCTTCCTTCTTAAAGAACTCACTCAATATAATCTCGAGGCTCAGCTGAATCCAGAGTATAATCTCCCCCCACAACATCCTTGATACTAGATATTATGAAGCTTTTCAGAGTAATTCCAGTGCCACTCACACCAAAGGGGTTGGGCAGAGATCCTCTTCTCAAGCAATCTCAATCCCTTTCAGGGTCGGCAGGCTTTGATACAGACCCTACTCCAGGAAATACTCCTTGTGCACAAACATGAAACTGAAGAAACTATCTTGTTCCTTGATTTTATTTATGGGTAATCAGTTTCCAATCTCTGCTCAGTAAGAACTACAAGCTCTCTAATACCATGACTTTAATGAGCAAACCATCCAGAGTACGAAAGTTAACTTTGACTGCACCAGCCATCTGGTGAGCTGCACAGAAAAGGGGACTGGACTAGGGGAAAGGAATAGAGAAAACATAACTGCACAGTAGGTTTAGAGAGTACATTTCTTTGGCACTTTCTTTTTATCTGCTGGGTTACTGTTGTCACACACACATGATCCATCTTTTCACAAGGAAGTGACAAGATGAGAAAGACAAACTGAAGCAAGTCCTGGCATAAACTTCAAAAGCCACTAACTCTGCCAAAAGTAAATGATAATAATTAGAAAGACAAAAGAAACAGCCTATACTTAACCTATTTGATGAGAAGCTGAGGTTGAAATGTAGAAACAATGAGATGCGTTTCACAAATCTTGTGTTTACATAATGTCAAGTTATGAAGAATCATAAGCATCTTGAGAGTATGGCCAACCATACCAAAAAAATAATCGCCTCCACCAACAAAGTGAATGGGAGAACTGAGTAATTAGGCTCAAACTTGGCAAGCACCCTTCCTTTGCTGTGCCTTTTGGTTCTACACACTAATCAGCATTTCCTTTTAAATGTAATCAGATTGAAAAAAATTAAGGGAGCTTGTTTTATGGGGGGAAAAAAAAGTGTGAGGGGTGACTATTATTGAATCAGACACTTACTGAACACACATGTGCCAAGCATTATAATGCAGGTCAGGGAAAGAAATACTTAACATAAATATACCATTTTTGTCTTTTATAACTAACAGACTAAAGAAGGAAGCTTACTATAGAAGTTGTGGAAGAGGAATGGAGAATGCTGGGAGGGAGAGTAGGAAGAATCACTCTACTTTGCCTTGGATATTAAAATGTAATGTGGGACAAATGCGTTTATGGTGGGTCACAGTTTCCCCATGTATGTTCTCTGAATGCTAACCTGGTAAACTGGGGAATAGGAGATGATGTGGAAAGTAAATCTGTAAATATTCCCTGCGAACATTAGCAAGTCAACAGCTCTGAGAAGTTCCCTACTCAAAACAAAAGTGTCAAATTTGTCAACCCACATCTCCCACAATTAATCATGGAATCTTTTCTACAGAATAGCACTTATAAACCATCTTGAGAGCAAACTTTATGAAACCAGGTTGCATGACTTTCAATGGCATTAAGAAGCTGCCAATACCTGGGAGAAAAAGGCCAGAACTCCATCATGTCCAAATTTCTAGGTTGTTTCCATTAGTTTCATAACATTTCAATAACTTTAACAAAAGCAAGCAATCTGTAATGTAAGAGCAAAGGAAAAACACAAACTCACAGGCAACTCCAAAATTATCGTTATCACAAATGTTGATCTTTTGAGAGGTAAAATTTATGAGATGCTGATGCTGGGGCAAGAGTTGACTTATGGCTGAGTAAACACAAAAGTCAGTTATTGTACCATTCTTGAAGTCTAATGGAGAAAAGTTATGTAAATGAAATTCACCTGGAATTTCAAGACACTATAATATCCAATCTATTTTCCTGGAAATAGTAATGAAGTCAGAAATGGTACAACCTTCTTATAACTTTCAAACTACTTTTCTTTACCCATAGTTTTTTTAATTTTGGCACAGTGAGCCAGTAAGTGGTTTTTGGTTTTTTTCACTGTGGTCATCCTGCCACACACACAGTGGGAGGGGCTAATTATTGGTGGAGAATTTTGTTTCTTTTCTCAGAGACCAACTGCTAATGCCAAGTAACTGTTGCCATGGACTTTTTCCCTCTCTCTGATGCTGTAAAATTGTTCCTTATAATGAATATAGCCAATTCACAATATCCTGTGTAGGTCTTAATTACAAGATGGATGGAATGCTATATTCTATGTTCTGGGCACTTTTTATTCTTAGTTCATTGGCCACTTCCTTGAATGTGCATAACTGCAGTATACAAAACTCCTTTGAAATATATACATCAAAATCATTATTCTAATACTCAGGCTACAGATCCTTTTCTGCTGTCATGCTAGAATGCACTTCCTGAAAGATGGTAATGTTTGAGTAGAGGGTTGGGGTGGAAATGGGCTACATACTGTATCCCCAGTTCTGCTTATGTGTGATTTAAATGAAGAAATTAACAATTTCTAAAGTATCTTGTAATTCCAAAGATGCTTTCTTTATTGTATTTTCAGAACCATTTCATCTTTGGAGAACCAGTTTAAAATGGTTAATGGTTAAAAATCTGTCCACTCTTAAATTATCACTCATAATCCTGTTGTTAAACTTTTATCTTTGAAATTGCTGCATAGAATTAGTTACAACCTTTCATTTCCTCGGCAGACTCTAGCCCATGAGGCAGGTTAATTGCACAACTAATATATATAAAATGCAGTCATGCAACATTAGACACATTTTGAATACTACAGCTCCTGTCATAAACCTGCAACTATCACTTAGAAGTTGCTGTTAAAAGCAGCCCAAGGGCTGGGGATTCCTGGGCTACTAAATCTGCCTTTTAATATACCCTGGCGATTTGTATAACTATGAAAGTTTTAGAAGTATTAGCTGAAGATCTGAATACTAATTAGAAATGTTTTTAAAATTACTGAAGAACATGGAAAAGTGATTGAATATTATCGGGAGTTATTAGATAAATTTAACAAATTGGAGTTTTGAAAGCTGCATAAAAATATTGAAACAATTTTCTAAGTATCCCCATACTACATAGTTCTTTATAAATGTACATAATTCTTTATACTAAATACGTAGAAAAACATAAATAAGCAATTTATCTCTTTTGTCATTTCCCGAGGTTAGGCCAGGATGGCTTTTATATTTCTGAAGCAATCCACAAGGTCAAGATGGAGGTTTCAGAGGAAGGCACTAAAGCAAGTGCAGCCACAGGTATGTTCAGAGAGTGAGTACACAATTCTTGGTCATGTTGCTTGCCTGTACATGCCTGTGTTCAATTTATTTAGTTGTCTCAAGTTTCAAGCCTTTCTATTTACAACTAAGTTTAGGCATGGTACATCATTTTTTTAAAAAATGTGAACAGAAAGCAAACTTTTTAAAATAATGATGGAAAGATATCCATTTTGAAAAGGATTTGTACCATTACCCCATAAACAAGGAAAAAAACTGTTCTGAAAATTACCTTTAGTAAGGAATTTATTCCATAGAATCTTTTGAAAAGGTAGGCTTAAAATTTTTTCCTATTTGCACAATCATAATACTAAACAAGGAAATGTCACTAGGATGCTTTGAATTCTTAAAAAACAAATTTGACTTTGCATCTAACTTGTGATTTTCAAGTAGAAATGGAATGAAATTTTTCTACTCTTTATCTTTACTGCAGCTCTGTTGTTACTGAAAAGGTCTCGGATTCCTGTTTTTAAAGCAGATCAGCCATTCATCTTTTTCCAGAGAGAACCCAGCACAGATATTACAGCATTATTTGATAGGATTCAGATATTTATTTATCAGCATCTGTCCAGCAACAAGGGCTTATTTGTTCACTACAGGCATTCCTGCTGTCTCTGCGGTGTTTCAGAAGTCCCAGCTGCTGTCTTATATTCTGAGAACAGGGACTATTTCATGTACAGAGGAAACTATTATCCTTGTTTCATGCCTATTTCTGCTCTTGGCTGTTTTGTAGTTACTGTAATTTTTTTAAAAATTCAGATTGCTACTTCTGGACTTAGAGAAATCATTAATATAAAAAATCATACATCTTGCTTTTTTTCCCTAGCAGTGTTGGGGATTGAACCCAGGGTGGGTCTTGAGAATGCTAAGCAAGCCCTCTACCACTAATGTATACAATGCTCACAGCCCTAACTCTTGCCTACTCTCTCCCTCAACTGGTTCCCTTGTCATTTTAGGAAAGGTTTCTTTGCATTAGGAAAATACTCCCAGTGACTCTCAGTGACTAGTATTCTGGTGAATGCACCTGGAATCCTATACTATTCTTTCTCAAAAATCAGTTATCTTACTTAGTACATTATGTCTCACTAAACATATTTATCTCAATCCAAAGACGGTATAATAAGGCAAAGCCTTATTTTAGCACATAAGACAAGCAGATGTCCTTTAAATACAATCTTTAAACTTATCTCTCTTAATGTTGCTCCTCCCCCTCTGGCAATTATTTATTAGCCCAGGAAGGAAGAGATTCTCAGTAAAGAGTTGTTGGCAATCTACAGTGTAATAAAAAGAAGTAGGATGGAACAAGACTAATAAAATCAAGCAAAGGTGGATCTACTTTAACTAAACATCAGGCATTACTTTTATTTGTGGAGAGAAAAGTCAAAAAGTTAGAATTATGAAAATTACGCATAGTTTTACACAAATTGTTAAGGAAATACTGTCAACATCATTTTATCTGAGAATCATTTGCATACTGCTATACTTGCGCTAGAAATCAAAGAAACATTTTTTGTGACAAAAAGGATGAAGATAACCATTCACTCGAAAATAATCTATTAGGGGATTATTTGGAGGGAAAACCATCAACAGAATATATCCACTTAATATATTTCAGCAAGATCATTCCAACCCTATTGTGATTAGATGAAAATGTGACTTATCATTCCAAACACACAGCAGAGATCTTTCTGTTAGAAAAGATATGTTTAAAAAAACTGAAAAAGAAAAAAGATAGGACTAAATTTTTGAACAGAAAGATCATTACCAAAAGCTGATAATAATTGTTTTTTTTAAATTCAACTGAAAATGTAATATACTTGAACTAGGAAAAGATATACCACTATTTCAGTGATATGGGTTTTCAGAACTGCCTTACTAATCAAAATGAAATACAAGGTTAATTCAAAACCAGTTGCATAATTCACCACAAATCTAAATCTTTGTGAATTTTACCTCTCATTCTGGGAGGCACTTGCCCACATCACACAGGGTAAAATGGTCATTGATGCTTCTTGAAGAAATCAGAAGTGAGTCTCAGCCTTTTCTACTCCAAATAACAAATCTTATTGGTAAGAGCAAGTAATGAAATCAGTTGACAAATGGAATGTTTAATCCTTAAGAAAAATGATCTAAAAAACTAAAGATTAACCTTTCAAAGACTACTACTTTTCCAGCCTGTCATTTAGTGATCAGACAGGATCAAAACACAAGATACTCCCCCCAGGTACATTCTCCCTCCCCTTTACCGACAAGAATTCTATACCAAGTATTTCACTAGTGAATATGCCCACAGTTTCTTAAAATGCAAGAAGCCTAAGAGATGGGATATAAAGCTTTAGTTTTGATGGGTTTCGAATCTTGTGACTAGGTTTTGGGATGAGGCTGTAAAAAGGATCAAGGGAGAGAGATTAAAGGATGAAAAGTGGAGATAGAATAAACTGCTAATTTCCAGCTTCCTTTAGGGTTCACACTAAAAACTGTATTAAATTTAAGTGGTCTAAAGATTACATTATGAGAATGTGAAATGGAAATAACTTTCTGATAAAGAAAGCTGCCGTTAGAATAGACTGAATCATTTCTTACTCTTAAGTATGAACTTCTATTTGAATGGCTTCTAATGCTATTAATCTCAGAATCTAAACACAAAAAAACTTAAAACCAGAAAGTGTATTTATGATTTTGTGTAGTTCTTGCTGAATTTAGCATTGTGACTGCAGATAATTACTTTAACAATTCCATCTAAATTTCATCTTGTTTTATTTGGAAGGTATTTTATAGAGGTAAAAAAAGTTTAAAGAAATGCATATGAAAATACTATATAATGTTACATTAAATGCTACTTTTTCTTGACAGGGTTTGTCCTCAGTATTGGGAGAGTTTCAAATCCTCTTGACTTAATTAGCAGATTTCAAGAATGTTCTCCACTTTCATGTATGCTTTTCATTAAAAAATTAATTTCACTTTGCTATATCCTTGAAATTTAAAAAATGTTTTGTAAAGCGTAAAAAGGATATGTGATTTTCAAGTATTATCAAACTAAAAACACTTTACTACAATTTTGCCTTCTCTTAATCCAAATCTATAAATGTTAACCCTTCCTACTAGTTACCCCTCAAACCACTAAAAGGCACAGCAGTGACCAACGAACGGCGAATAAGTCAGGTAATAGGATCATAAAGTCATTGGATTGAAGGGTGGAAAATGAATGGTGTCAGTTTTCCTCATTCTGTGTAACTCAGGAAATGCAAAATGAATAAAGTTGTCTTAAATCCAGCTCCTTTCCATTGAACTTCTCAATAAAACTGGGAGTTTAAGTGACACAATTGCAGAGCAGAATGAAGAATCCCCCTCTATATCCTTAATGTATTGTGAGCTTTTGCACACATGGTATGGTGTCAAACTGTTGACCTCAACTTAGTGCCATCCACAATCCTAGTGAGAAAGGAAAAGGGGTTGGAGGCATAAACAAAAAAAAATTAATAATATCCAAAATTGTCCTCTTTTAATACCTGTCTATCTGCCACAGGCACAGCCATTCCAATTATTCAGGCAGAATTGGGAGTATGTTGGGATGGCAAATAAAAAATTTGAACATATAGTAAAAAAGACAATGCAGAATGTGTAACATATAATTACAGTTCGGTTTAACAAATATGAACTTCAAGTGATGTATTTTCCAATGCTAAAAAGCAAGGCCTTTAAAATTCCATTATTCGGACGTTTTTAAGTGATTACTTTAAATGTGATTATTTCCTAAACCACACAAGAGTAAAATAGAGCATTTATTGATGGAATAACAAAAGTGCTTTTCTTAAATATTCTTCAAAATACATTTGTACAACTTACAATAATATATCCAAAATAACTGTATATACAAAACATTACCTAGTTTTAATGTATGTGCTTTTTTCCCCAAAAATTACAAAGTAACTTCTTTTTAATTATTTTTTGGCAAAGTTCAACCTTAACAGAGGTGACAAATTTAAAGGTTGGTTAAGAAAATAGAACCTGAGGGAAATTGACACGCAGAGTCAATGACAAGCAAGAGATTTGGAGGAATATTTTTAGTTTGTTAAATAAAAATGTTTTTTAGAGTGATACTTCTTCACATTACAAAAATAAACCAAAATGAAGAAAAAGTCACTGTAAAATGATGGAAAAAGGATCTGTAGACTTGCTTTTAGTATTTCAAATAGCCAACAATGCATGTCAAAAAAAATGAATGCAAGATCACAACAGTCTTGTATTTACTTTGTATTTGGAGAAGACAGTGAAATAAGTGACCACATTCTATTTTTGTTTAATTGCTATTAATATGGTTGATCTGATTGGCTCTTCGATGAATTTCATCCAAGAAGTTCTCCAGTTGTTCTATTAGCATTCGTTTTTTAAACCTGCATGAAAAAATAAATAATAGCACTCTCAATTACTTTTTAATGCATAGTATATACCAGCATAATATTTAAAAAATAAAAACATTTGCCTTAGGGAAAATTTTTCAAAGTGAAATGAAAATGGAAAATCACTACTCTATGACATAAAATCTGTTGCAAGGTTTACAAATTATTATTTGTACACAACAGTATCACAGTCCCTTAAACAGATAAGCTAGTTCTAGAAACAATGGGAAAAGAGAATTCCTCCTATAGCCAAAGAGAAAAAAAAAGGGAGAATATATACTAATATATACAAGGATTCCAAATACTCAGATTTGGGATCCCAGAGCAATTACTGCAGCATCTTCTCATGTCCTCTGAAATTTGAGTGTTGAAAAAAAAGAAAAGAAAAGAAAAAGAAAAAGAAATTTGAGTGTTGAAGGGAATGTGAACAAAGTGGAACATCATTCCTCACAAAATGCAAAGGAAAATTAAAAGTGAGCAGTAGCATTTAAAATCCATGATGTCTACTGCTACAATGTGAAAGATAATTAAATACCTGTAACATAGGCCACAGAAAGCAGTTAAAGTTCAAGTGGCAAATCTTAACATTTTTTCAAAATAAAGATAGGTATGAAAACTGCATTCATCTATATAAATATTAATAGCACTGATGCTCTTTAGAATAACAAAACACTAGACATGCTATTCCTACTTCACTTATACGAATACCCACCATATTACATATCTCTCTTGAAAGCTAACAGGAATATCAGTACTATCCTGTGAAATCCAGAATGAGGTTTGAGCTGATCAAAGAGCAGAAAGGTATTATGAACAGAATAGGCTAAATATTCAAAACTAAGTGAAACTTATGGCCTTATCTTGATCCTTCAAAGTGGCCCATGCTCTAGCCATTCCAAAAAGAAAAACTTATCTAAAACCTTTATATATAGCATAGAAGACTGATTAATGGGTATATTTATATTTGGAAGATTAGATGAAATAAATCCTAAGTTTTCTTAGAATACTAAAATTTAAACCTTGAAAAATAAAACATGTTTTTAATGCTTCAACTATGCTTCTCAATTAACTGAACTTTGTAGGTAGGTTTATAACTTTGATTCACATTCCTTATACTAAAGTACGTAACTCTGGGATACCAAAACAATCAAAATAAGAACCATTTGTTCAACTCTGTTCCCCTTGATTACATCTTCCCATGTAAAAAGAAAATGCATTCAAATACTGTCTTCCTAGGCTTTTTCTCATCACTAATTAGTATACAGGGCTAAAGAATATAGGATGTAAAGACACCAAAAGGCTACATTAAAAGAAGGATAAACAAAAGTTTTGAAAGTATCCAGTAATTTTCAGGGAGAAAAAGTCCATAATTCCTGAAGAATTTGTGGGTGGCAATATTTTTAAGTGAAGTTTTTTTTCAATAAATAAGTTTATACTATACCTTGGTATGTCATGTGTATGAATAAACAACACAGGTGCTTCAAAGATAGTTAAAATACTCCCTATACATAAATTGGAAATTCACTTCATCACCAGTTCATAATATATAAGTTTATTTACCTTGATGCTTCTTTAATGACATTTTGTAAAAATATTAGTCTTGTTTGTAAACTGCCTTGCACATGCTTCAGTAAAGTGAAGATTCTTTCATATTCTTAAAACAAGAGAAGCAAAAAAGAAAAAAAAAGTAAGTAGCTTTCATTAAGATACAATGAAAGCATTCTACATAAAAAATTCTACCATTCTTTAAAGATTTTATAGTATATTTCAACACACAAGATTAAACAACTTGTCAAACACTGCTTTTTTGGAAAAAGTACCCATTGAGGTATCAAAGAAAGATTAAAAGGATGAGCAAAGTGTTTTTCAGTACTTCTGCTGAAAAATAAGAGTATGGCCTTCACAAAAACCCATGCTTATTATTTAAAAATTCTAAACTACAACGTGGTGGTGGTGGGGAATGGGGGGTTAAGAGAATTTAAGGGTGTTATCTCAAGTTTCCACCTACAACTCTGCAAGGTCTGAATCCTACTTATTTCTGGCCCACCCAAAAGTCACTGCACCATTAAGACTAGTAATCTGTTAACATCTTGAGTGAATGCCAATTAATACTCAAAATTTTTTCCTACAAAGTTCATTTGTATTCACATAATAAATAGCTTTCATAACTTTACTTTTTGGTCTAAACATATCCCTGATCACTACCATACTTTAAACACAATAGTAGGCACAATGACAAGTAAGAATATTATAAACACAAAGTTACTTAATATTCACTACATGTTTTTAAATTAGCTGCTATATTAAAATTCCAGTTGCTGGTTCAAAGAATACTCAAGACTCCTAAGTCCCTGCCATAGCAGGAAATTATGTATTTATCTGTACTGTTTTCTCTTTACTATCCAGCATATCTAGTACCCTAGTGCCTTGAATACAGCAGATAGTGTTTGCAATCTAAATAAACAATCATATCTTATGCAGCTCAGATATTATTTTATTCTAGACTGATCTAGAATCAGACCTTCATTTTTAGTTGACTTGTTTTTTATTTTTTGGGCACAAAGAAAAATTGAATCTGAGGTCTATCTGTAAGTATACATACTTCGTCCCGGCTTTCGGATCTCTTTCATTATTTGTGCTTTTAGTTCAGTATTGACCTCTTCATGGCTTCTACAATGCATTAATTTCTTTCCCTTGTTGAGTGAAGATGTTGCTATATTCTCTTCAGCACATTGTTCTTTATCTCTTGACTCCTCATGATTTTCTAAAAACCCACCAACAGTGAGGTCATTAGTTCCTAAATGGTCATGACTAAGAGCCTCTGTATGATTGGTTGGTCGGTCCAGTAAATTGGCTGGAGAAGATGCTGAAAATTCAGTATCCATAGCATTTGGTGTAATGTCTGATGAAAGTTCGTCTGCAACATGATTTTCAACCACATCATCTATTGTTGAATCATTAGTGGTTTCTGAATCTAAAAACAAAGGCCAAAGAAATTGAGAGCCAATATAAAAAACACAATAAAGAAAGTTGTAAAGAAACATAATTAGTGCAAATCACAACTGGCTTCCTTGACTAATGCAAATTAACAAATTTTGTAATATGGCTAAGCTCTGCCAAATATATGGTAGGATTTCAATAAGCATTCACAATATTTACAAAAATCTGTACAATTTTGTACCACAGAAAACAAATTTTTAATTGTGCCAATTTCAGAAAGCTTTTAGTTCTCTGCTTTGCTCTATGGCCATCTTATTGAAAAGCAAGTTTTCAATACTTTTAGGAAATATATATGATCAAACCTGTCATGATCATTTTTCCCTCAGCTCTAGCTCATTTTAGTCTATTTCTGTCTTATACATTATCAGTTAGAGGCAAGAATAAACACTAAACAGTTTATATATTCTTAAATTCTTCAGGGAAACAGGTCATATTTCATAGTACATACTATTCCTACCATCATCCATTTAGTCCTCATGAATTGAGCAATGCAAAGCAACCTGGTGCTCACTTTAACTCATTAGACCACCAAAAGACTGCAGGCTTGCCACTAAACACCACATTATTAGATTCGCTCAAGGACA